TCTTGAAATAGTAATTAATGGTAGTTTAAAAGCCATTATTATTCCTAAGATACATACTATTTATGCAGGACAGTTTACTTATCAGTGGTTCAAAATACTATACAATAGTTAGCTCAGGAATTTATAATATTTTTCAAAATATGCAATACATATTAAATTTACTAATTAAAGACAAAAAAAAGGCATATACCATTGGGAAATATTGTCTTTTTTCTAGAATAAAAATGGTTGAAAAAAACACATGGGAAATAATATGACTACAAATTAAAGTGTTTTTTTTTTTTTCAGAAAATACTATTGGAAGATTCAAAAGCACTGCAGATTAAAAAAAAATAAGTCATTACCCAATATAGGAAGTTTACTACCCATTGGATAAAAGTATACTTGTCTATGCTTTTCACATGTTTATACAAATGGTATATTCTAGATTTTTTCCCAATAATGACATATATAATATAAAACACTAATTTTCTAGTGAACAGCTAAAGGAAAAGGTATTTGAAGAATTATTTTACTTAGTAAATTACTTTCTAATGTATGTATGTATGGAAATAGTTTAAGGTAACCATTGATGGAGTGAAATGTACTAAAAAAAAAAATAACAATTTCAGACTAAGTTCTGATATTATGCACTTTCCCATTCAAAAACAAGCCATTATAGCCAAGAAGATAAAACAGAAGTGCACAAAGTGCTACAGAATGCCAGTGATGCCGCTGATTTTACAAAAACAGGATCTCTGTGATACTTTGTAATGAGATGAAGAGGAACCACGAAAATCTTTTGTACCTCATGAAATTTCCTGGTTATTTCATAGCCAAGTATCTCATCAGTAACTTTATCAAAATATACCAAACTTACTGATGAGATATCCATTTTTATTTTACAAAGGACAAATAGTAAAAATTTGCTGACTTTGCTTTAATAACTATGTGACAATCAATAGAAAGCACCCTTGCAGATAATTTTTTATTTTTTATTTTTTTTAATTTCTTTATTGATTAAGGTATCACAAATTTATCCTCATCCCCCCTTCCCATCCCATACCCTTCTCCACGTATACCCCTACCCCCCTGTTGTCCGTGACCACTGGTTAGGCTTATATGCATGCAGATAATTTTTTTTTAAATAAGTAAACAAAATCTGTCTCTTCAAGTTTAAAGTGATGCTTTCATGCTAAGGGAGAAAAGTGGCTGGATTTTCAAAAGCAACTATAGGAAAAAAGTATTCTGAAAGTGTATATTAAGAAATATTTCAGTAACCTCATTCATTTATGGAATATAATGAATAATATAAACTTTTGAACAAAAACAGGTCCAAAGACAGAGAAACATTGATCAAACCATCAAACCTCAGAGGGGAGGTAGTGGAGGGTGGGGGTAAGGGAAGAGATCAACCAAAGGACTTGTATGCATGCATATAAACCTAACCAATGGACACAGACAACAAAGGGTTGAAGGCATGAGTAGAGGGGGTGGGGGGTATTGGGGGAATAAAAACACATATGCAACACCTTAATCAATAAAGAAATTTTTAAAAAAGAAATATTTCCACCATCGTTGGCTTGTGTTGCTATAAATAATGTGCAATGCCTGTAACAACATTCATATATGCACATTTTAAAACCTGAGCACAGAATTATTTCATCTGGGTATAAATGCTTCAAATGAAGTATTTCAGCAGGTATTGAATTCATTTTGATGAGTTTTGAAATAATAACTGATAGCCTGGCCAGTGTGGCTCAGTTGGTTGGGCATCATTTCTGACACCGAAAGATTGCTGGTTGGATTCCGGGTCAAGGTACATGCCTGGGTTTTGGGCTCAATCCCTGGTAGGGGGTGCGCAGAAGGCAGCCCATTGATGTTTCTCATCAATGTTTTTATCTCTCTCCCTTCCTCTCTCTCTCTAAAAATCAATTTAAAAAGGCTAGCTGTCATAAGAAAAAAAATGGATATAAACTAAATTTCAATAAGTCTGTAGCCTAATTGATGTAAGGTTAAAAAGTGAGCATCAGGTAGAGCACTCACAGCTAAGGACATACTCTTCATTTGGAACTGTAATAGATGCAAGGTATCTTTTTAACCTATAACATTGTGCCACTAAAACTAAGATTCGAACTACACTTATAACTAGAACTTTGATTCTCAATATCACATTGTTTCAAGATAATAAAGATAGCCTAATCACAAAAAATATTATTATTGCTCTTACTGTCAAGATAATTATTTATATCATTTAAATTTATTTTAAACATGATTCATTTCTTCTCATCCTCTTTTACTTCTGCACTTATGCTTTATAATATACTAGAGGCCCGGTGCACAAAATTCATGCATTGGGGGGGGGGGGTCCCTAAACTCAGCCTTCACCCCTGAGGGATGTCCGACTGCCCATTTATGTGATATGTGGGCAGTCGGACATCCCTCTCACAATCCAGGACTGCTGGCTCCCAACTGCTCGCTGCCTGCCTTTCTGATTGTCCCTAACCACTTCTGCTGTTAGCCTAATCACCCCCTAGCCACTCCCCTGCCAGCCTGATCAATGCCTAACTGCTCCCCTGCCATTCTGATTGCCCTAACTTCCCTCCCCTGCAGGCCTAGTTACCCCTAATGCCCTCCCCTGCAGGCCTGGTTCCTCCCAACTGCCCTCTTCTACTGGTCATCTTGTGTCCACATGGGGGCAGCCATCTTATGTGTTGGAGTGATGGTCAATTTGCATATTACTTTTATTAGATAAGATAAAGGCCTGCTGCATGGGTGGGAGCCAGCTGGTTTGCCCTGACAGGTGTCCTAGATAAGTGTGGAGATTCCCTTGGGGCTTGAGGTGGCCTGGGTAAGGGGCCTGTGGTGGTTTGCACACATCCCCCAAAGACCCAAGTGGAGGCCCTGGTATCTGGGATTTATTTATCTTCTATAATTGAAACTGTAACCTTGAGCAGAGGCATTGGCCAGCCAGGGTGTGAAGGAAGCTTGGATTTCTCCATTTCTGGGGAAACCCAAGCCTCCTGCTCACTCTGTGGCCACAGCCATTTTTGTTAGGATTTATTTATCTTCTATAATTGAAACTTTGTAGCCTTGAGCAGAGGCCAGGGCCAGCCAGGGTGTGCAGGAAGCTTGGCATCCTCCATTGCCAGAGAAACCCAAGTCTCCTGCTTGCTCCATGGCCACAGCCATCTCGGTTGGGTTAATTTGCATACCCGATCTTGATTGGATGGTGGGTGTGGCTGGTGAGAGTAGCAAAGGTAGAGTGAATTTGCATATTACTCTTTTATTACATAGTATAACATATCACATACATATCTGTATATTTTTGTACATATAGAATAGTACATGCATATAAAATAAGTATCCATTTTAGGAATGGTTGGCAAATTTGTTTCATTTGATGGACTGCCTCTGTTCCACCTTAACAATTCTTTAGGATCTCCTTCCTTCTATTTATAAAATGAAATCAAATTACTGTGAATTTAAAGGGCAGCCTTGGAGTGACAAGGAAGAATAAGAAATGGTGTGTTTAAGGTATTTGTTGCCAGGTAGCCAGAATGTGGGTGGTGGTAAGTGTTGACTGAAACAGGATGTGGAAACTATACCCAATGGTAGAATGAAGAATTAAGAGCTAAATCCTCTCTACTACACTCACAATATAAGCCACGCATGATCTCAAACTTTCCTCATGGACATGGACAAGAACCAGTAAAAGCAATTATTGTACAAGGTTATTATTATTGTGAAGAATGTGTCATGATTAGATCAACTCAGCAAATCTACTGAATGACAAGTCTCTTATGCAATCCTCTGGTAATGGAAATTTCCCTGAATCTTGACAGAGTGGCTTGTTAAACAAACAAATAAAATGAAGAGTCTTCTCAAAAGAGAACTTAGAAGTATTCCATTAGCATGTCAGCTAAAAATTATTCCCATGCAACTATTAAAATACAAAATTGTCTAGCACAATGACTTCTTAACTTTCTGATGAGGGACTCATATTAAGAAATGCATTTGTATCCTATCCCAATGCACACATGAATATGCAATTGAAAAGAAATTTCACAAAACATTTTTGCCCTTATTATGTAGAAAACTAGACTAAGGACCTTGAAAGGAACTGTGGGCCATGAGGCTTTAGTGGGCACAGAGGCGGGTCTCAGCCCATCCTCTGCACCCCATTCAGTCCCTCCTGCTGCTGTCTCTGGTCCCCTGTCTGCTGGCAGCCCCATTCTCACTGCTACGGCTCCCATGTGCTGACATTGCTGGCCTGCTGCTCATACCTGCTAAAGGCGTGAAGTGATTGGGGCCAGCACCAGCAGTGGGTGTAAGCGGCAGCTGATGCCCCAATCATCCTTCAGGAGCAGGAGGAGGTTGAAAAAGCCCTCAGAGGTGACCAGGGCCAGCACAAGTTGTTGGCAGCAAGTGTGAACAGTGGTTCTGGTGCCAGCTGTGGGTGAGAGTAGGGTCAGCACAGGCAGTGGATGCAAGTGGCAGCTGCTGGCCCCAATCATCCCTCAGGAGCAGAGGGAGGTAGAGAAGCCATGATGGGCGATCAGGGCCAGCAGCCATCACTCACACCCACTGATGGTGCCGAGTGATTGGGGCCAGTGCTGGGTGCCAGGTGCCAGCTGCAGGTGCGAGTGAAGCTGGTGCCAACAGCAGGTGCAAACACCCATTGGGACCTTGGCACAGGGGAGCAAAGAATTTTCAGTAACCATCAGAGGATTTCCCCAATGACAGTGACTGGCACTCTGCCTTGGTCTGGCGCCCCTGCTCACCAGCTTCACCATCCTACACGGCTGATGCCCACCATGTTCCAGGCTCAGCCACCTGCTGCAGATACCTGCTATGTTCCACACACACCCCTGGTGGTCAATGCAGGTCATAGTTACCAGTTGTTTGATTGTTTGGTTGTTCCACCATTTGGTCTATTTGCATATTAGGGTTTTATATAGAGAGATAATACAATATATCTATCTTATTACATTTTATTCCTTTTTTAAAAAATCTGGTCATAACTTCCTAAATTGATTTCCCCTCCCACTAATGAGTTGACACCTGCAGATAGGAACACCCTGAGTTAGCACCAACCACCCAGCTTTGCATCCTGATCACATTATTCTGCATCTCTGAAAGAATACAATTACATTTATTTTTTTTAATTTTTTTATTAAAATTATCTTTGTACATATACCATTCCTCTCCTTCCTATACATGCCTTCCATCCCCAGAGTTTTGTGTCCATTGGTTGTACTTATATGCACGTATACAAGTCCTTCAGTTGATCTCTTAAATTAAATAACACTTTTTTAAGATTCAGCATTTTTTCCATCCAGATAATAGTGAGTTTTCAAAATGTCACTGTTTCTAAAGGCCTGATGGAGAACTCAGAGTCAGGGATTTGGTGCTTGGAGGACAGAGGGTGTGTACACAGGTGAGTGGGGGTGCTTCCCACAGGGGCCACAAATGTGCCACAAATGGCCAGAGCCTCCTGGTTCTGAGTGAGAACACACAGCATGACCATGATGATAAAAGTAGATGACAACGGACACAAACAGCACTCACTGAGCACTAGGTACTGGTATATGCACTCTACATACATGGCCACTTATTTCTCTAACAACTCAGCAAGGCAAGGACTATTGTCAACCCTACTTCATTGATGAAGAAAATGAAGGGTTGTTTGGCCTATTAACTCTTCCATGGTCACAGTTAGTAAGAAGCCTAACAGGGATTAGAACTGGGGCTCTCTGCTCTATGAGTCATGCTCTTGAACACTACACTATCTTCAGATCTTTGTTAAAATCCTCAGTTTTTAAAAACTAATAAATACTCTTTTTATGTATGTTCATGTCAAATAAAACTTGTCCAAGGGTGAAATGTGAGCCCTAAGCTGACACTGTGAGCTCTGAAACAAAAGAAAAAAGAGCCTGATATGAAGGGGCCCTGACCTCAAAGCTGTGAGTTTCTAATAAATTATGGTACCTTGCTGGTCTTCAGCACTTTTGCCTTAAAAATGAGGAATTGACCTGGCTAGTGTGGCTCAGTGGCTGAGCAGTGACCTGTGGATAAGGAGGTCATGGTTCAATTTCTACTCAGGACACATACCGGGTTCCAGGCTCTATCATCAGTTGGGGTGGGGGGAGTACAGGAGGCAGCTGATAAATGATTCTCTCTCAAAATTGATGTTTCTATCTCTCTCTCCTTCTGCCTGTCCCTTCCTCTCTTAAATCACCAAAAATATGTATTTTTCAAAAAAGAGAAATTGAAGCAGATGCTCTCTGAGGACCTGCCACTTCCGATATTCTATAAGCCTAAGGTGTTCAGAAGAAAAGGGAGCCTGAATTAAGAGAGAATAGTGGAAATAGAAAGAAAATGTTTAACCCAAAAATTGAAAAGAAAGTAGGAATGGGTAAAAAGAAATAGAAAGGAGGCAAAGAAATGAAGAAAGAAATTATCCAAAATAAGGAAAGTTCATGGTTGTTGAAATTAGATCAGTGAATTTCCCCAGGATCCTATTAAAGAAAGTAAAATGCTTCAAATAAGATTAATACTTGAAAAATATTTATAGGATTTTCTTTGTAAAAAAAAAAAAAAAAAAAAAAAAAAACAAAAAAAAAAAAAAAAAACAAACAAAAAAACTGTAGGGAAGAAATGCAACAAAGAAAAAAGATACATTAAAGATATGAGCTGAAACCGGTTTGGCTCAGTGGATTGAGTGTCGGCCTGCGGACTCACGGGTCCCAGGTTCAATTCCGGTCAAGAGCATGTACCTTGGTTGTGGGCACATCCCTGGAAGGGGGTGTGCAGGAGGCAGCTGTTTCTCTCTCATCCATGTTTCTAGCTTTCTATCCCTTTCCTTTCCTCTCTGTAAAAAATTAATAAAATATATTTTTAAAAAGAGATATGATATAAGCGTAGAGCAGAAAATGTCAGATTTAATATTTGCCAATTAACTGAGAAATTGGCACAGGATGGGGATTTGGGAATGGAGATTGCAAGAGTGAAACAAGAATCTACAGGAAGATCCTGAGCAACCTCAGAAAAGCAGAATGTCTTCCTGGCTTAGAATCAGGATCTGCAGATAGTTCACATGGCCAAAATAATTCCTGTCACTGGGCCATCTGCTCTGAGTCAACTCAGTTTTTCCTCAGAAACTCTTGGCAGAGGGAGAAGACATTGTGTGCTGAAAATCAGCCATGGAACTCCCAGGACTGCATTCACCCTGAACATTAATTGCTTTCTGGAATCTGTGTGTTTGGAGACGTTTTGAAAAGAGCCTCTTAGAAACTAGAAGTCAAGCAGACAATCTCTGAACATCCCTCACTGCCCGGGGAAGTCTATCCCACCTCCATTTGGGAACAAAGCAACCCTAAGACATGTCTTTATTAGTCTCACAGGAGCCCTGACTGGTTTGGCTAAATGAATAGAGTGTTGGCCTTTGGACTGAGAGTTCCCAGGTTCAATTCCGGTTAAAGGCATATACGTTGGTTGCAGGCACATCCCCAGTAGGAGGTGTGCAGGAGGTGCCCAGGCCAATGTTTCTAACTCTCTATCCCTCTCCCTTTCCAATAAAAATAAATAAAATATTTAAAGAAAAAGTCTCACGGTATAAATTTTTTGTGAAAACAAATGCTCTTGATTTTGTACATAAATTAGAGCAGTTGTTTGTTTTTCTCCTCTAATGATGGCTAAATAAAGTGCAGTGTCACAGGCCCCACCCTCAGGGGATGGGAGTTTCCATTCTTACCAAGCTCCCAGGTGTAACACAGGCAGAAGTTTAGGGCCAAGTCCTCTGTCAGACTGTACTCTGAGGGGGAACCTGAGGTCCACAGGCACATAAAGCTGCTCCAAGACCTAAAAGAGAGGCCAGAGGCTACAGGTGATGTCACTGCAACTTCTCCACTGATAGCACTGCTCTATCTCAGTTGTTGGGGAAGTGAAAATTTCCCATCCTTGGAATGATGTCCATTGCACCCACAATGTCTGAAACCCTTCCTTTTCTCTGAGTTACCAGACATCTTTCCAATGTGTGGGACAACCTTCACGTTTTCCTCTCAGTCATCATCACTGAATAACTGTTTTGTCCCAAGAACATTCTTTTTACTGGAGACACCAAAATCTACCCTCATGGAACTTATGTACTACTTAGACAGACAATAAACTAGTAAAAATTTTAATAAATAAGTAACTAAACGAATAAAATTGAATTTCAAGAAGTGATGAGTTTCATAGGTTAAAAAAAAAAGAAGAAAAGAACAGAGTAAGGGAGTGACCAGAGTGCTATGGGCATTACAGTTATCAATAGGGTCCGCCAATGGGCCTCACTGTGAAGGTGAGATTTGAGCAAAGACTTTAAGAAGGTGAAGGCTTCATTTAGAAGGAAATTCCAGGCAGAAGAAACAGCCAATGCAAAGGCCCTAACATAGAAATGTACTTGGCCTGGCTAGTAGGTCAGAGTGGCTGGAACAAAGTCTAAGGTCAGTGCTGCAATGAGTTGGAGCACACCAAGGTCATAAGTAATCTTTCAGCCATTGTAAGGACTTTGATTTTACCCTGGATGAAATTTATTATTATTATTATTATTATTAGAGGGTCTTAAGTAAAATGATAAGACTGGATTACTTAATTAAATCACTTGCAATTTGTTACATTACTAGGTAACATACAAAATGGATTAGTGTCTAATGGAGCCAGAAACCATAGAGACCTTTGTGTTCCACTGGACAGACATCATTTACAACTCTACTGAACAAAATCTATAATAAAGAGTTGAGATTATTCTCCCTGACATGTATGTTTTGCATGTTTTTATTTTAAAAATGAAATGAGTAGTTGCAGTTTGAGTTTCATAGAACTTTAGCAAATAAGCATGCTAAGACATTTTTATTCCCATTTTATAGTTGAAAGACTAAAGTCTAGAAAAGCAAAGTACAATATGTGCTCAAAATTTTTACATATATAAATATATATATATATATATAAATTTTGAGCACATACTTTGTGTGTGTGTGTATATCTGTTTATTTAAATAATAAATAATAAATAAATTTATCTAATAGATGGCATAATTAAGTCTTCTAAAATTTTTTTGTTAACAATACAATTTACTTTGAAAACTTGTAAATAATTTTTTTTTAACTTATGTTCTTTATTGTTTAACTAGAGGCCTGGTGCATGAGATTTGTGCACTGTGAGGGTGGGTAGAAAGTGCTCTGCCTGACCTGCACTCTCTCCCAATCTGAGAACTCCCACAACTTAACAAAAGAAATATAAACAATCCAATAAAAAAATGGACAAAGGACCTAAATAGACACCTTTCAAAAGAAGACATACAGAAGGCCAAGAGACATATGCAATGCTCAAAGTAACTAATCATCCAAGAGATGCAAATCAAAACAACGAGTACCATCTCACACCTGTCAGAATGGCTATCGTTAACAAATCAACAAATGACAAGTGCTGGAGAGGATGCAGAGAAAAAGGACCCCTTCTTGCACTGCTGGTGGGAATGCAGACTGGTACAGCCACTGTGACATTTCCTCAAATATCTTTTTAATATATTTTTATTGATTTCAGAGAGGAAAAGAGGGGGAAGGAAAGATAGAAACATCAATGATGAGAATCATTGATTGGCTGCCACCTGCATGCCCCTTACTGGGGATCAAGCCCGAAACCCGAGTATGTGCCTTTGACCAGAATCAAACCCAGACCTTTCAGACTGCAGGCTGATGCTCTACCCACTGAGCCAAGCCAGTAGGGCAAATCTTTAAGGAAACAAAATATCTACATTCTTGTATTTTCTTCTGATAATGGTATTTATGAATACCTTGCATATGGTGGGACAGAATTCACTTTAGTGGTTTAGACATTGTGAATTACTAATTTTAGGAAGAATTATCATGTCTTCACAGTAAATGTAGACTCAAGAGGCAAAAACATTATTTATCCAGTGTTACAGAGGTAGTAGTTACATGTTACATGTTTTGATAAAGGAACTATGTTTTATTAACTTCTCTATTCCTAGCATCTGTTAGCACAGAGTAGACATCCAATAGACATAATACTCCTTGTTTTCTAGAGAGAATTATCTTCCTGTCATCTGCTTTGAAGTTAGCAAT